AGTACCAGTAAGGTTCAAGGCCCCCTTAAGGTGAAAAAAATATCATTCTATCTCATTAAAATGGTCAACATCTGGCTGACCTGCTAGGTGAGCGTATCAACTTGATTGGCATAAATGTTACACCTGTAGTGAGGCTACCTGTGATATACCTGATCGGAAATTGATCTGAAACTAAAGATACACTTTGTGATGATTAAAGTTTAATTGAATTAAACCAGGCACACTTAATTTAAATATCACAGCAAGTTACATTACTGATACACTCTGATCTGCTAGGATTTTAACTTAACTCAATGATTCATGCAGGGAAAATGGTGTCTTTCTATAATAATTTTAGTAGCCTTGCTCAAGCCCGAAATAATTTGGACAGAAGGTGTTATTTGAGCCTCTAATTATAATTAGACTTGCAATTGGGCAAAGGGGACTCAATTTTGTAAAAAATGTAATGGAGGGTGTGTTACCCTACCCCCTAGGGGCAAAGGGTCGGGGCCCAATAGGAGAAATTGAGGTCAATGTTCTAAATCCTTCTTCTTATGTACCATTGGAGGGTATTTATCTCACCTGGCCCAAAGGGCCGAGTGAGCTTACATTGTTACCCATCCGTCGTCCGTCCACCGTCCGTCCTTTTAGTCAAGCTTTTAGTCAACTTCTTATGAATAACCAGGAGGCCTAGGATGATTTGACCAGTATCATGCTAGGATGAAAGACTACTAAGTGTGTTCAAATGAATGACCCTTGCCTATTTTTAAGGTCACAGGGGTCAGATATGTTAAAACAACTTATCCTAAATAACCTGAAGGCCCAGAGTGATGATGTTTTGCCAGTAGCATGCGGTCATTAAATTTAGGGCTACCAAGTTTTCTTAAAATGAATGACCTTGGCTTATACTCAAGGTCAGGGGGGTCAAATATGTTTAAAATCTTTAAACAACTTCTCCTGAATGTTGATATTTGGCCAATAACATAATGGGATGAAGGGCTACCAGGTTTATTTAAATCAATGTCCTTGACTCATATTCACGGTCACATGGGTCAAACATGTTTAAGTCTTTTAACAACTTCTTCTAAATAACCAGAGGCCAAGGATGATGATGTATGGCCTGTAGCTTAGTTGAAGGGCTTACAAGTTTGTTCAAGTCAGTGACCTTAGCCAAATCTCAAGGTCACAGGGGTCAAATATGTTAACATCTTTTACAAAATTCTGAAGAATAACCAAAAGGCCTTGGGTCATGATATTTGGCAAGTAGCATGTGGGGATTAAGGGCAACTAAGTTTGTTCAAATGTATGAACCAATATTCAAGGTCACATGGGTCAATTGTATAAAAAAAAGCAAGAGGCCCAGAGGCCCATCTGCCCCCATGGGGTCCATAATCATCGTTTATACAAAATTGGGTCCCTTGGTCCAAGGATGCTCCAGACTAAATAAAGATAAAATCCTTTAATCCCTACAGTAGAAGAAGGATTTTAAAAGTTTTACATCTATTTCCCCTATTCGGCCCCTCTGCCCCTAGGGGGCCACAATAACCGTTTATACAGAATTGAGTCCCCTTGGCCCAAGGATGCTCCAGACGAAATTCGGATAAAATCCTCTAATCCCTACAGTAGAAGAAGGATTTTAAAGTTTTTACCTCTATTTTCCCTATTGGGCCCCGCCCCTCTGCACTTAGGGGGCCACACTCACTGTTTATACAAAATTGAGTCACCTTGGCCCAAGGATGCTGAAGACTAAATTCGGATAAAATCCTTTAATCCCTATGGTAGAAGAAGGATTTTAAAAGTTTTACTCTATTTCCCCTATTGTGGCCGCACCTCTGCCCCCAAGGGGCCACACCAACCGTTTAAAAAAAAGTCCCCTTGGCCCAAGGATGCTCCAGATTAAATAAGGATCAAATCCTTTCATTCCTACAGAAGAAGAAGGATTTTTAAGAATTTGCTATGTTTCCCCTGGGGGTCCATACCAACGGTTTATACAGAATTGGTTCCCTTTTACCCAAGGATGCTTCAGACCAAATATGGAACGAGTCCTTTCATTCCTACAGAAGGAGAAGGAATGTAATGAATTTACTATATTTCCCCTATTTGACCCCGCACCTCAGTCCCTTGGGTGGCCAGATCCACGCGTACGGTTCATACAAAATTGTTTTCCCTTCAACCAAGAATGCTTCAGACCAAATATGGAACAAATCCTTTCATTTCTACAGAATAAAAAGAATTTTAAAGAAATGGCTTTGTTTCCCCTATTTTGTCCCTCCCATCAGGCCCCTGGGGGCCATACTAACGGTTTATACAAAATTGGTTACCCTTCACCCAAGGATGCTTCAGAGAAAATATGGAACAAATCCTTTCATTCCTACAGAAGAAGATGGATTTTAAAGAATGAGCTATATTTCCGGTATTGGACTCGCCCCTCAGCCCCCAGGGGGACGAGACCCACCAATTATACAAAATTTGTTCCCCTTCCTCAAGGATGCTTCTGACCAAATTTGGTCAAAATCTGCTCAGTCGTTCATTACAAGTATCGTTTTTTAGGAAAAGTTGACGGACGGACGACAGACGCCGCACCATGGCATAAGCTCACAGGTCCTTCGGACCAGGTGACCTAAACACTTTAAACGACTTCTTCTGAATAACCAAAAGGACCAGGATGATGATATTTGGCCAGAAGCTTGCTTGGATAAAGAGCTTCTAAGTTTGTTCAAATACATAAACTTTGCCCATATTCAAAGTCACAAGGGTCAAATATGGTGAAACCAAAACGTTAATGGTGATTGTTTATATGACCTTGACACACTTTCAAGGTCACATCTGGTAAGGTTCGTACGTCTTTAAAAGTCATCTTCTCAATAAACAAAAGGAATAGGGTGGTGATATTTGGCAAGTTGCATTCTGGGATGAAGGACTATAAATTTTGTTCAACGTAATGTCCATGTTTGAGTTTAAAAGTCATAGGGGTCAAATGTATTTAAATCGTTTAACAGGTTCTGTTGAATGATTTTAAGTCAAGACACTGATATTTTGCCCGTAGCTTAATTGTGTCGCCTGCGAAAAGCTGGTGACACATAGGTATTGCTATGTCGGCGTCGTCAGCGGCGTCGTCCGCACAGAGGATTTTGTGCGATAACTTGAGTTTCCTTGGGCTGATCAAACTCAAACTTCATGCAGTGCTTCCTTACCAAAAGTGCTTGCTTGGAATTGCTTTTCAGGTCCGAAGGTTAAAGGTCAAGGTCACTGTTACTATAAATAGAAAATCTGTTTTTGTGCGATAACTTGAGTTTGCTTGGGCCGATCAAACTCATACTTCGTGCAGTGCTTCCTTACCAAGAGTGCTTGCTTGGGATTGCTTTTCAGGTCCGAAGGTCAAAGGTCAAGGTCCCTGTTACTATAAATAGATAGCAAGTTCCTTAAAACTCAGAGTATTCTTCCCAGAATAACAGATTATATAACAAAATGATGCCATCCAAAAACATAATCTATGATTATTGCTTACTTTTAACATTATTTCTTGAAATGAAAAGTGTATCTATTTCTTCGTAATCTCCCAGCTTCCTGCGCAGGCGACACATCCACTTCCGTGGAATTCTTGTTTTAGTCCACTATATATTCAGGTTACAAATGTTTGATTAATACCAGGTGAGCGATTGGGACTCTTGTTTATCAAAACTGATCAAGAAGATCCTCATTGTCAAAGGGAACTCAATTTTATGTAGAGCGTCTTCGGCCAAAGGTTACTCATTGTATACGCCCGTCAAATTTGACTGAAGTATTATGATATGAGGTTGTCCGGCCGGCCGGCCGGCCGGCGTAAATATTTGTTTGTCCGGCAATCTCCTCCTATACTTTTCGACCGATCTCTTCGAAACTTGTTATACATTATAATCATGATATGAAGTTGTCTCCCTTTAAAGAATTTTGATTCAACGATTTTTGTTCTTTTCAGTATTTGATTTTTTGTCCAGAGATTTTCTTCTACATTTTTTATAGCATGTCAGCTGACCACTCTTAGAATGATGCAGATAAAAATGTAAGAAAGTATATAACACTATACGGCATTCGACGAGCGTATATTGTTCCGCCCCGCGGTACACTTGTTGTGTAAATGGATGTTTGCTTTTTGGAGCATACTGGTAAAATTGACTTCTCCTCTGGAACAATTAGATATATGGCTATTGACTATATTCAAATTTGGTTGGAAGCATTCTCAAGTGGTTTGGCACTGACTGACCCCAATGGGGTTGACCATATATACATTACTGAGTATAAAGGTAATACATGTTACCAGGATGGACCTGGTGTCTTGCCCCAACCCCGAAGAATTAGTCCCTATGTCTCAACTTTCAAATGTTTTTAGTCGTCACCATCTATACAATTGCTTTCCTCAAAGAGACAATAAGACACTTCGTTAACCTCAATTTGGTATAAATGGTGGGTGTGGACCCCCTGGGGGCAGAGGGGTGGGGCAAAATTGGGGAAATAGAGGTAAAACATTTAAAATCATTCTTCTACCATAAGGATAAAGGGATTTTATCCTAATTTGGTCTGGAGCATCCTTTAGCCAGGGGGACTTAATTTTGTATAAGCGGTGGGTGTGGCCCTCCTGGGGGCAGAGATGTGGGGCCCAATAGGGGAAATAGAGGTAAAACCTTTAAAATCCTTCTTCTACCATAGGAATTAATAGATTGTATCCCAATTTAACCTGGAGCATCCTTGGGCGAAGGGGACTAATTATTTTATGAACGGTTGGTTTGGACCCCCTGGGGCTGAAAGTTGTGGGGCCAAATAGGGAAATTAGAGGTTTAAATCTTTAAAATCTGTCTACTTCTGTACCATTGGAGGGATTTTATGTAAAAAACAATAACTTCCCATGGTTACTTTATTATCCAGGTGAGCGATACAGGCCCTCTGTGCCTCTTGTTGGTTAAGGTTTCGTTCATATATCAATTGAATAATCACATGCTTATCTTCATTTTTCGTGTTACAGTTGCACCAAGCTGACCATCAAAATGGCTGAAGGCGGGCATATCCCGGAACTAGACTTATACTTACTGGAGTGTCCAATCTGTCTGGAGCGACTTCGGCAACCTAAAACCTTACCCTGCCTCCACTGCTTCTGTCAGGATTGTCTCGGGACCTACATCACCAAGGAACTGTCTGGTAAGATGGCTTCGGCGACATCCTTTCCGTGTCCAATTTGCAGAGGGATTGCTACGCCTGTCAATCAAGCGGACACCAAGGCAAACTGGGCCAAACAGTTCCCAACTAATGGTGTGATCCAAGAACTTATCAAGCTTAAGGAACAGTCGTCTGAACCACTGTACTGCACACCTTGTCAAACAAAAGGTAATCCGTCCAATCCTGCCAAGTTCTGGTGTAGAAAAAATGAATCCGGTTTCTGTGAGACTTGTAAAGTGGATTACCATGATATCGTACATATTGGATGTGATATATTAGATATTACCAGGCACGACAGCAATAGACCAAAACAACATCCGGCTGTTCCTCACTGTGACCAACACGACGAGAATATGGTTTGGTACTGTGAAGATCACAAACTTCTTGGCTGTAACATATGCGTTTTAGAAGACCATAGACGTTGTGAAGCAGTCACAACAGCGACGAAATACATTCAGAAGCTAAAAGCAGGATCGCAACTGGCAGATATGCAGGCAGCACTACAGAAAGGTGCAGAGGTCATGAACTATTTAGTGAAGGACTTTGACGAACAGCTCCAAGTCATGGTAAAGAACCAAGAAATCGCTCTACAGAGTATTACAGATCTACGCCAAAGGATCGACAAAAGGCTTAACGAGCTTCAGAAGAACTGCACAGACAAGTTAATCACGTTGTTCAAAGACGAAAAGGGGAAATTAGACGACTCCTTACGGCAATGCGAACGTCTAAAGAATAGTATGCTGAGTACCCTGAAATCGTCCATTAAAGCTATAGAGGGAAACGAAAACACTGAAACGATAGTGTTGTATCAGAGAGGACAGGCGGAAGTGGAGTCGTGTAAGGCGCTGGTCATAGAGATGAACGAATCTTTCACGTCCGTCAATGTTAAGCATCAGACCGAACTTGTAACCTTCGGTGATGACGCAATGGGGAATATCGTCATTGAGAAACCACCAAGACGTTTTCCGGAGAGTCATGGTTACCTTACGTCACCAATGTCCGGGCGTCGCGTGAGAGAAGTACAACAGTTTGGTGTAAAAACTACATCAGATTGCAACGATTGTGATGCAGTTGGCGTCGTATTCCTTCCGTGCAATCAAATAGTGGTTAGTGATGGTAACAACGAAAAGCTAAAGCTTTTTACAGATAAAGGACAGTACCTGGATGAGTTAACCATTCACGGAAGTCCCAATGATATGTGTTTTGTGAATGCCAACACAGTGGCTGTGGCAGTTAGCAGTCCTGGTGGTGTCCATGTCGTGAAAGTAGACAACTCAAAAATGTCACTTTCTTCCGAGATCTGTTTGCCAGATGATAAAGGCTGCCAGGGTATAACCCATATAAACGGAAGATTTGTCGTTTGTACAGACACAGACAGAGCAGAACTGTACAGTGTGACACCGGACGGCACCGCTGAGCTGTTATATCAGTATAATGGTAAGTGTTATTTCCTGTCACATGACCCAACAAATGAAGACATACTGGTCAGCTGCCACATCAGTACACGAGGGGAAGCTATGCTGTCCAGACTCTCGGCTGACAAACGTCGCAAGAATGTGATGCAAAGAGGTGTCGTGAGTTCAGCTGCAGGTGTTATCGTTGATAGGGAGGGCAACATTTACGTGTGTGGCTTTGGATCGGGCAACGTCGTGCAGTTGTCTGGGGACGGGACACACGTCAGGGAACTGCTGACGTCATCAGATGGAGTAAAGTGCCCATTCGCAATAGCTGTTTGTGGTGACATGTTTGTACTCACTGCATATCAGACAAATTACGTCCGCTTGTTTCAGCTCTATTAAGCCAACTACAACTCGTCTTAATTATCTACAGATCTATTCACGTATCAGTAATATTACGAAACTTTTCACGAAGAAACACTCTATAAAGAACCGGAAGAACGTCATCAAAATCAAGGGCTGCACCCTCGGTACATGTTTCCCCTACAATTTTACATTTATTTTTAACTACATTTCAAGATGGCAAAACTACATTTGATTAAATACATATTTGATAGATCCGTTCATGAACACCTACTATGAGCACACACGCATTCAGCCACCAGTCGCTCACACACGCACGCATATACTTGTAGACATGAGAGAGAGAGAGAGAGAGAGAGAGAGAGAGAGAGAGAGAGAGAGAGAGAGAGAGAGAGAGAGAGAGAGATGTTATGACATGTTTAAAGGGATTCAGTGAAAATACGTGTGTTGAGAGAGGAATCCATGATTCTGTATTTAAATTCCAGTAGAGTGACACGTTATGTTGAAGACTTTTGTAAATATATAGTGTTCTTATCTATAAACACCAGGCATAATGTACTTATTACAAAACGAGTTTCCATTACGGTTTGATCAAAATCTTCTTGCTAAGAACTTTTGTCACTTAATTTCTTTGCTTGGTATGTTTTGTACTAATATCCAGAAATTGTATAATATTGTCTTTGTTTGAAATTATGATTACATAATACTAAAGCTGTTTGAAAAATGATAGCTTGTACTGTATCAGGTAAATAAACAAAAAACATTTGTACATCATTTATGCTTTGCTTTACAAGTAAATTTACTCTTGATTGATACTTTTGTATTTTGTTTTTAACATACGGTCATCAGGTGATTGGCTGTTTAAATCGCGTTGTCTATTCTTTGTGTCGCCTTTTCTCAAAAAGGTAACTCATACATGTATCTCCAATTCCATAAATGAAAATCGACAGACGGCTTTATGACTTTCGTGGGTTTAAGTTTGTTAGCGGCATTTCTCAGAAGGTGCTTTCTTCCACTTCACATATTATAGAGGTTCCCGATGTTCATTACGCATATCGTTGTTTGTGACTGAATGAAAAACTAAGATGTCCGACAGGCAGCTATCTTGAATTTTTAGAATGTAGTTAATTAGTGCTATTTCTCCGAAAGGTGATGTAGGGATATTACTCAAATTTCACATGAAAAAATCCCTTTGGTCCATAGATACGCATATCGAATATTGAGACTGATCACACAAAGATTGCGGACAAGGCAGCCTTCTTGAATTTGAGAGTTTAAGATTGTCAGAGCTATTGCGCAAGAAGTGCCTGAGGGACCTTTCTCAAATCTGATATGAAGGTTCCCCAATTTCCCTTATAATGCATATTGAATATTGAGACTGATAAGATAACCAAGATGGCCGACAGGAGACCATCCTTAATTTTAAGAGTTAAAGTTTGTTACATTGTAGCTCTACTACTCAGTATGAGCTAGAAGGATCTTTCTCAAATTTCACATGAAGATTTCATATGGTGCCTAGTTATGTATATTATTAATTGAGACTGATAGGAAAATAAAGATGGCCGACACATGGCCATCTTGAGGTTTGAGAGCTATAGGTTGTTAACGATTATCCTCTGAGAGTACTCTGAGATTACTGATTGGATTTTTCTTCAATTCCATATGAGGGTTCCCTATGGTCCCTAGTTAGGCTTATTTATTTCGGGACTGTTAGAAAAACCAGGATGGTGCAAAGTGTAAGGACATCGAGCGTGAACAGAATTTTCTGAACGACAAATGTATTGCCATTAACAATTAATATACATTCTCTGTAATTATTTAAGGATTAACTTGATTATATTTTTTATGTTATGGAGATGTAACACAAAAAACGGAGTGTACTCTGTTTATGATGAGAGTACTCTCCGGTTTTTTTGTGTTATAGCTACATAACATAAAAAATATATTCAAATCAATCCTTATTATTTAATCTTCTATACATAATCCCTGTGGAAATCCACTTTTATTGATGGACTCTTTTCTATTAGAAATTATTACTCCGTTTTATCAGCCAATCAAAAGCGACGTTACAAACGGCGACGTCATTTTTTACGTTATGGGTTGATAACATAAATAAATTATTGTTAAGTCAATGAAAATGCTTCTTACAAGCAAGATTAAATTATAATTGAATAAATTCAAGTATGCATGATCCGTAACTTCGATCCTGGTTGTTGGACTATCAGAAAGTTATTTTAATAAAAAAAAAAGATTTGGTGTCCAGCAGCTTTGCTGCATTTTCTTGTTATGGCAGTTATGTCCCTTTCCTATATGTTTGTATACATAATATTGTCCGAACAACTCTTTTAACAGTTTTCATGCACACTTCTCGAAAATTATGTACTCTGCACACATGTACACGGAAGTTGTGCAACTTTGAATACTGTTTGATCTGCTATTTTCCCCTGTAATTATGTTGTCCATTAATATACACTTAGACTAGAGAGTCATCAGTTCCACAGGCACAGCTAGCTCGTTTTAGTTATGAAGGAATAACAAAGATGTGTGTCCGCTAATTGTCATTTATTTAAATGACGAGTGTTTGCCAATAAAACCTGGCAACAACATATTTTATGGAACATATAAACTACATTACATATTATCAATGAATAACCAAAAGGTGACACCTAGAAAACGCCTATCAATAAATAATCAAAAGGTGGCATTACAAATTCACCTTAAACGATTTAAAGGTGGTGCCATGAAACATCTACATCATCAAGATAATTCTCTGAATATCATCATTCCACAGTGTATCGGTTGGCAAAAGGATGGTGGGTTGATGTTGAAATTTTGATCTTGGTGATGTCTCTGACATTTTTTCTTGTTTTGATCACGTGACCGTAAAAAACCGGTTTTGATTGGCTAACGGCCGTATTGTAATTATTCATGAGGGATTCCCAGACGGGAGATTCAAATTGAATTACTAATGTGTTTTTTGCCGTACCCCAATCCGATTCACGACACACCGTAGAATTAATTACAGCTTTTACAATTGAATTATTATAAATATTACATGCAAGCATAATAAGTTTAATGCTCAACATCAATTTATTTATCTTCTATAAATTATATTTATTAACAAGTGCTTGGGCCAGAGTGGGAATCGGACTGGATTCAATTAGACTTCACAAATATCGTAACCAAACCCAGAGGTTTTAATTAATTTGGGCCCTTTCTAAAAATTAAAAAGATGTTGTCCAGACGATTCCTCCTTAACTTGTAGGCCCATTTCAACGAAACTTGATGCCTATGAAAAGTACCCCATGTCATTGTGCATCTGGAAATTACTTTTTTTTTCATTTTTATACTTTTTATGGAATTATGGTCCTTCTCTTTAATGTTTTGTACACCTATATCTATGGACTTGATACTCACCACCATAGTATTATACAGGTGAACATAGCAAATTATTTTTTTTAACTTCAAAGCAAAATGAGGAACGGGATGCATTAGTTAGCCAGTGGCTTACTGTTCAAGTTGTAAAATAAATAAAGTTTAAAGGAGGAATATTGAGAGGTTTTGACCGGGATTGTGAGGGAAAGATAAGGGCGGGTGTGGTAGCAGGGTAATACTCTCCAAATCGTTTCCTTGGTTTCAGAACGAGTCGGTTGACCAATATTTTTACCATATTCTCTAAAGTATTGACATTGTCATTATTTTATCCAAACCTCTAATACACTCAACAAATTTTCGAATCAACGTGAATGTATACCTGCAGACATAAACACATCTTTTGGAACGGCCACGTAAATGCACAATATCTTTAGTTACATATAATAGATTAGATACATGTATCAGTGTAAACATAGTAAATAACGATTTATTGTAATTTTCTTTAAAATGATCAATGCAAAAGTTTGTTCTCTAAATGTTTTATTTTGAAGAGAAGACTGAATTAGTTTTATTTATACGAGCTACCTCCCTTCCATTAATTATCGGATTTCAATTTTTTATTTTGAAATTGCACGTTATAGGAATTAACAAAGATAAAACTCTTTATCTAAATCCTATCAATATTATATTATAAATAATTTATTATAAGCCACAGTAATATAAATGTGAGTTAACATTATACACACAGCTTTGTGCCAGAGACATATAAAGCCACTCTGTAATATATACGTCTGTGTTTGTGCTGTCTGCAAAATGGTCAAACTTGAAAGATAACAACAATATTAAAAAAAAGTTTTTGGGTTTCACTGAGTTGACGTACACTATGTACATGTATGAGGCGGGTAATTCAAGACGTCGGATACAAGAAATACATAAAATATATACATATACATTAAAACATACCTGATCCTAAATATAATTATGTTAAGATAAATAAATCAGTTTCTGTAAATTTTTAATAATATGTGAAATTATTCTTTATTCACCTTACCTGTAGATAGGACGTTAAAACCTATACAACAAACCAACCTTTAAAATTCCGGAATTTTTATACCGCAATTCCGATTCTTTGCTTATAGGCGTATAGGCAACATCCGTGTTCGGGCGGGACAAGGAAGAACGCATTGTGTCTTGAAAACACAGACCTGTCTGCGCCTTAATGATCATATCTTATGTTCGCACGGTGAGTAATATGTGTAACAGTGGTATAAGTATCCGTTTTATCTTCCATTAAACAGACTCGAACTTTTTATTGACATGAATCAATATTTAAAATGCTGTCATTTTTTTACTTCAGTACGTGTATAGAAAACGAAAGTATTTGATACCTTTGTCCCTGGTACTCGCAGCTATAAATACCATGTTCTTATACTTGATATCAACAAACATTCAAAATAAAGTGCTCACTAAAGCTGCCACAATCACGTGTTTGAAAAGTAATCCCAACATCTTTCAAATTCGCGGACATGAGCAAGGCTACTTCTAGTACTAATGCATTGACAGACCAGCATGATTTGTGCATCTCGGAAAAAAATACGAATGTACGAAACAATTGTCTGTCCCTTTCACTGTTGAAATTGGTCCCTATACCATGCCACACACCTGGTTCTAGTCCGAATTATTCTGACGTTTTATCAACTTTTTTTAAAATTGGTCTGTCGTCGATTAACGTCAGAACTCTAGCCCTCTAATATGCGGGAAATAAGCGACCCGCGCCCGGGTCGCACTTCAAACTGATATTTTAGAAACAAATTGCACTTTCACACACATGTCGCACATGGATCAAAAGTATATTTTATAGGGAAAGTTATATAATAATAATAATAATTCAAGGTTCTTATATACTGCTATATCACAACCTAATTCGTAGGTCGTCTCAAAGCGGTTCATAAATTATTATCCGTGGTTATAGGGCCTTTGCAACCAGCCAATACCTTTCTCAACTCCATGGGAAGCATACAGCCGGAGCTGCCATTTCGGCGCTAACAGCTAGCATTCTACAATTCTAGCACTGCCCAACCACATACTCATTTACAGCTGAGTAGACTGGAACAAGCGGAGTAAAGTATCTTGCTCGTGTATTAGTGAACTGAATATTTCTCCTGGAATCTGCTTCAAACTCGATAAAGGAAATGGCAAGTCTTGATGACTTATTGAAGGAAGAAATTTTGTTTTATAGCTATCAAGAATTTACACAGAAATTTAAAATGCGTACAATTTTTAGCCCACCATCATCTGATGGTGGGCTATTCAAATCACCCTGCGTCCGTGGTCCGTCGTCCGTCCGTAAACAATACTTGTTATCGGTATTTCTCAAGAAGTACTAGAGGGATCTTTCTCAAATTTTATATGCAGGTTCCCCTTGGTCCTTAGCTGTGCAGGGCAACTTTTTAGACTGATCGGATAAACAACATGGCCGACAGGCAGCCATCTTGGATTTTGATAGTGAAAGTTTGTTATCGCTATTTCTCAAGAAGTACTAGAGGGATCTTTCTCAAATTTTATATGTAGGTTCCCCTTGGTCCTGAGCTGTGCAGGGCAACTTTTGAGACTGATCGGATAAACAACATGGCCGACAGGCAGCCATCTTGGATTTTGATAGTGAAAGTTTGTTATCGCTATTTCTCAAGAAGTACCAGAGGGATCTTTCTCAAATTTTATATGTAGGTTCCCCTTGGTCCTTAGCTGTGCAGGGCAACTTTTGAGACTGATCGGATAAACAACATGGCCGACAGGCAGCCATCTTGGATTTTGATAGTGAAAGTTTGTTATCGCTATTTCTCAAGAAGTACCAGAGGGATCTTTCTCAAATTTTATATGTAGGTTCCCCTTGGTCCTTAGCTGTGCAGGGCAACTTTTGAGACTGATCGGATAAACAACATGGCCGACAGGCAGCCATCTTGGATTTTGATAGTGAAAGTTTGTTATCGCTATTTCTCAAGAAGTACCAGAGGGATCTTTCTCAAATTTTATATGTAGGTTCCCCTTGGTCCTTAGCTGTGCAGGGCAACTTTTGAGACTGATCGGATAAACAACATGGCCGACAGGCAGCCATCTTGGATTTTGATAGTGAAAGTTTGTTATCGCTATTTCTCAAGAAGTACCAGAGGGATCTTTCTCAAATTTTATATGTAGGTTCCCCTTGGTCCTTAGCTGTGCAGGGCAACTTTTGAGACTGATCGGATAAACAACATGGCCGACAGGCAGCCATCTTGGATTTTGATAGTGAAAGTTTGTTATCGCTATTTCTCAAGAAGTACCAGAGGGATCTTTCTCAAATTTTATATGTAGGTTCCCCTTGGTCCTTAGCTGTGCAGGGCAACTTTTGAGATTGATCGGATAAACAACATGGCCGACAGGTAGCCATCTTGGATTTTGATAGTGTGGGTTTGTTACCGCTATTTCTCCGGAAGAACTAGAGGGATCTTTCTTAAATTTTATATGTAGGTTCCCCTTGGTCCTAGCTGTGCAGGGCAATTTTAGAGACTGATCGGATAAACAACATGGCCGACAGGCAGCCATCTTGGATTTTGATAGTGAAAGTTTGTTATCGCTATTTCTCAGGAAGTACGGGAGGGATCTTTCTCAAATTTTAAATGTAGGTTCCCCTTGATCCCTCGTTGTGTATGTTATATTTTGAGACTGATCATAAAAACAAAATGGATTAAAAGAAGAACTAAACAGATCTTTCTCATATTGCAATGATCGATTCTATTTCTTTCACATTAAGTACTGTACTAGTAAATATGTGAAATGACAAACTCACTTTGAAGGTTGGCTTTCATACACATCAGTATTAAGTTTAGATCAAAAGTTACCTCAAGGTGCATTTACTGTTAACATGACTCGATCAAACAGATTAGAGGAAAGAAGAGAAAAGATCAAACTGACAAAGAACTAATGAAGATGGTACAAAGGTGGGCGCCAAGATCCCTCTGGGATCTCTTGTTTAGTTCCCCACCTGTTCATGAGAGGGGGGGTGAGATGACTATAGCTTTACACTTCGTCTGTCCTTCCGTCTTGCAGTCCGAAAAGTTTGTCCGGGACATAGCTTCAATATTATTTCCCTTGGAGTAACCAGTTTTGATGTACAAGAACATCTTGGGATGCATGTTGGAGTGCAAAGTCGAGGAATTAAGTCACTGTGACCTTTGACCTTTACTTTTGAAATTTTTTGTCGGGGGCATATCTTCTATACTATTTTACTTGGAGTAACCAGATTTAATGTCCAAGGACATATTGAAGTGGCAGAGTGCAAGAATTAGGTCACTGTGACCTTTGACTTGATCTTTGACCTTAACTTTTGAAAACCTTTGTCTGGGGCATATCTTCTATATTTTTCCACTTTGAGTAATCAGATTTGTTTGTACAATGACATATTGAAGTGGCAGAGTGCAAGAATAAGGTCACTGTGACCTATGACTTGATCTTTGACCTTTACTTTTGGAAATGTTTGTCTGGGGCACATCTTCTATACTATTTCACCTGAAGTAACCAGATTTGTTGTGCAAGGACATCTTGGGATTGCGGAGTGCAGAGTGCAAGAAGAAGGTCACTGTGACCTTTGACTTGATCTTTGACCTTAACTTTTGAAAATGTTTGTCTGAGGCATATATTCTTTACTATTTCACTTGGACATATTGGGATGACGGAGTGCAAGAAGTAGGTCACTATGACCTCACTGCGACCTCTGCTGTCTGACATAAGTGTACTGTTTATTAAATAATGGGTGACTATGGATTGCTTTGCAATATGTTGCTTTGTTTCAAATGTTTCCATACATGCATGCATTGACAAGTATAAATAAAGAGAAATGTTTGTGAAATTTCTTATTACAACTCATAGTCTTTGACATTTATTGCAAACAAGAGCAATGGCACTGCTTGAAATGTTCATGACTCATGACAACATAAGTAGATAGCTCTACAAATGTAATGAAT